ACTGGGAAAGTTCTAGATGCCAGCACGGTTCTGTTGCCATGGCGCTCGCCCACCTGTAGCGTAGTGACTGCGTCCAGGTGTGCGTTCACTGACTGACAGTTCTCCTGCGAGCTCCAGCTCCACACCTGCAGCTTCCCAGCATCTAGAGTAAGATCAATAACACTGAGCTCAAGATGCACCTGATATGACTCAAGACTGATGCAAGGCATGGTCAACTCACCCTCTCTCACACACACACACACACACACACACAGAGAGAGAGAGAGAGGTACCTACTGTACCTGAACCAGTAACAATGAAGCCCTCTCCTTCAGGAATGAAGCACAGGCTTGTGACTGCATTGAAAGTGTAGATGGATTTAACACACTGACCTGCAGGAGAAACAAAATCAGAATGTGAAGCAAACCCCAAACACACTTGAGTTTAATTCACACTCATCAGCAGGGCTTGAAAAAAATTGCTGTTTCCAAAAAAAGAGTGAGCACCCTTTCACCAGTTATATAATGACTTGATTCTTGAGATAATGGACATTCAGAACACACTGCAACCATTACAACAGAACCTCTACGGTACACTCTCCATCCTTTAACATCACAATTCATATTTAAAACGAGTATTTCTACTGCCACTCTACATTTTAAGCATGATTTGGCAAAATTCTGAATTTTAAAAACTGTCATTCTTTTGATTTATGAGTGTGAATTTGAATCACATTGCTCACACATCACAGGATGTTGAATTTGGAATGAGAGGACGTGAGATTTACTGAACTGCAATTCAGACATTCAGCACATTCACTAAAGAAAGTAATTGAATTAGTCCTGCAAGATTTGTTACCAAAACATTAAGAATAAAATCAATCATTTTTAGACCAATTGTGACTTTTTATCTCCTGATATATAGAACAGATTTTTTTGTACATTCTTTTCAAATAGTTTATTGAAAATATAAATCGCATCAAATTTTGAATATATTATGCCATATATTCAGCTTTAACCACAGTTCTAGTACCGGTAATTGAAATATTAAACATGATTATCTTAGAAAAATGTATTGTCTCGTCAAGGTTTCTGGTAGATCAGTCTCTAATGTTTACCAATGATGCATTTATTTGATCAACAACCTGTTTTGCTGTTTAATATATTTTTTGTGGAAACCACGACATATTTTTTTCATAATCTATTGATGAATAGAAAGTTAAAAAAAGAACAGTGTTTATTTGCAATGGAAATCTTTTGTAACATTTTGTAACATCTTTATTGCCACTTTTGATCAATTTAACGTGGATGCATACTGTGTGTGTGTGTGTGTATATATATATATATATATATTTATATATAAATACACACATATATTTGTGTGTGTGTGTTTGTGTGTGTGTGTGTGTGTGACTCACCCGAGCTCAAAGCCCAAATTCTCACACAACAGTCTGTGGAACCACTAAGTACAAATCTTTCCTTGTCAGCCAAGTCGAATGCACGTGCTGCAGAAAAACAGATCAAGACAATGAGAGAGCAGGACAGCAAATGAGGAAAAAAGAGTGACCTCAGGACATGAGAAAAGGGAGAACGAAGGACAAAGGATATGAAGAACAAATGCATTGTCAAAACAGCAAGACAGGGAGTGATGGAGAGCAAAAGGGACAGATGGGAAGGAGGACATAAGTAGCTGGAACAAAAGAGGTGGGGGAAAGGAGAGAGAGCATAAAGGATGAGTGAACAATCGTGGGTACATCTCTATCAACCGGCTGACCCCGTCAACAGGATCAAATATTCTTTACTTTCCAGGGGTTGAGAGAGTGTGAGTCGGTTGTGTGTGTACCCAATCTCCTGCAGTACTCTGGAGGTGGTGCACTAAGACAGGTGACTCCACCACTGTGACCTCCCAAATTGCGCTGTTCCGTTGCCGTGGGAACATGCCACACTTTAACTGTTGTATCTCGACTTAAAATGGTGGGTGAAAAAAAGAGAAGAGGGAAGCGGAGTGAGGCATTCACGGATATGTCAGTAATTTCACAGTCAGTTAGTCATAAACATTTTTATATAAATATATATATCTTCCTCATTGGTTCCAGTACCTGCCAGAAATCACAAGATTGTCGACGGCGACCACACAGGTGATGATGTCACTGTGACCCTCCAGAGTTCTGAGACGAAATTTGGACTTTTCCCAAGTTTGTTTGCGAGATCTGAATTGGACATCTGCAACGTAAGACAAACAAACTGTTTTGTAAAAGCTGAGGTCATTTTTTTCTCACTCCCGTGAATGCCGATAAAAGAACCATCTGTTATATCATCGCATGAGACTGCCATAAGGCAGAACTTCCTGTGAAAGACAAGCAGGCTTGTAATCAACATCTGTGTGAGTAACTGTAATTGTGTGTGTGATTAGTGCACTAATTTGACCTTCTTGTTCTTCCACACTGGGGCTGACGGGGAAATGCGTCTCTCCTCTACCATCTGTCTGGCTTCCATCATTCTCTTGTCTCTCCTCTCGTGCAATTTTTAGCGCAGGAACACTGGCAACATGTTGCTCTGTGACCTCCTCACTATCATGAAAATAAACATCAACAAGCTCAAAATAAATATCAATGTGCATTATTCGAGATGGTCCTCACTGCAGAACACAAAATTAGATCCAATTCCTCCCACCATATATATACCTAAACGTACCCATCTCCGACCCCTGATCCCTAACCCCACCCCTAATCCTACCCATCTCCACTTCCTGATCCCTAACCCCACCCCTAATCCAACCTATCTCCACCCCTTGATCCATAACCCCACCCCAAATCCTACCCATCTCCACTTCCTGATCCCTAACCCCACCCCTAATCCTACCCATCTCCACCTCTTGATCCATAACCCCACCCCAATTTCTACCCATCTCCACCCCTTGATCCCTAACCCCACCCCTAATCCTACCCATCTCCGCCCCCTGATCCCTAACCCCAGCCCTAATCCTACCCATCTCCACCCCTGATCCCTAACCCCACCCCTAATCCTACCCATCTCCACCCCCTGATCCCTAACCCCACCCCAAATACTACCCATCTGCACCCCTTGATCCATAACCCAACCCCAAATCCTACCCATCTCCGCCCCCTGAACTCCCTAACACTACCCCAAATCCTACCCATCTCCACCCCTTGATCCATAACCCCACTCCTAATCCTATCCATCTCCACCCCTTAGATCTGGATCCAACACCACCCCCCAGCATCTCATGTGCTGCAATGAGGTGCTACTGGATTATTCTCAAGCCTGTCCAAATGTGTTCAACAAACGCTTGTCCTGTGATACCTTTGTTGTAACACATATATTATTAAATAGCAACGTGCAAGACAGAAGCCTGAATGTGGGAGTTCAAGAATAGACTTTTAAAGAAATATTATGAATCAATACTGCCTTGATGCCAAACAGTGGAGGACTAGCCACCGGCAGAGAGCTAGAGTTTAATCTCATACGCCCCGACAGTCTCGCTCTCCCCTTCCCTACCTAGTCACTCATTGTTTCTTACACTTGTCTTTTCATTCTATCCTCCTCTTTTCCCACAATCCCTTGAGTTTGCTGGGGGCCAGAATGCTGCAGCAGAAGCTCAGCCAATCTGGAGCGAAGCTCCACCTTCTTCGAGACCTACAAAGAGTAAAATATTAGAGATTTTTGCGTGCAAGTTATGGTTGAGCTACATGGATTAGTTATCCTTGAAATTATGTGTTTTCATTCTGTAAGTAATTTCTGAAAGCTCTTTTTTAAATGTGTGAAGTGGTAAAAGTGGAAGTGGTAAAAGTTCAGAGACTTCCAACTGAACACAGTATATGATTTGAATGAATTGTTCAGTGCACAGATTCTGCACTGTTTTGAGTCCAGTAGGAGGATATAAATATTGAATGTGAGTGAAGAAGACCATAATAATGCTGTACCTTTATTTTTTCCTCGGGAGTGAGGGAAATTTTGATTTCCAAGTTCGCAATTTGCCTTAACTTCTTTTGGAGTTTCCTCACCTCCCCCATCTGAACTGAGTGTCAACACAAACCCAGTGCCGATGTAATTTAAACTGCAGGGATTCCTCGTCAAATCAATAAGCTCTTTGTAAGACGTGCATACTTTTGCTATTATTTTATATTAATTGAATCCACGGTTGATACTGTAGACAATGGTTAACTGAATTGTTATTATTGCTATCCAGACTACACACACACGGATCCTGTATGTAGACGTGTACACAGACAGACCTCATCTGCCGGAAATCAGCAGATTCAAAATGTGACCTCATGTAAAGGGACATGATCTCTCTGGCGACATCGCGTGGAATTGGGGAAATGCATTTAGAATCTCTTACACACATGAAATTTAATAAATTTAAGGTATCACACAAAATTAACAAAGTATAAGGTCATAATAATAAATGATGAAAATTCAAAAAGAAAGAGGAAAATAAAAAAATAGGCCATAACGTTAAAGAATACGTGGCTGTCCGAAATCCTAATAACGTTACTAAATTACAGTTTAGGTTTTCTGTTATTTATTTTCAATTTCCACATTTTTGTTCATGTAATTTAATTACATTTCCATACAATTTTAAAATTCCCAACGTTAGAGATCTAAAAAAAAAACAACAACAACAACAAAAAAAAAACAACAACATAAAATGCAGTTTTGTACTACAACATAGCTCTTGAAATGTTTTTATTTTTTTAAGTAACACATACAGGTGTAAAATACAAAAAAAAAAATGCCATACCCAAACGGACCAAATGAACATTGCTTTGTAACATACCAGTACATCTAAATGTAAATATATTTTAAAAACATAGAAATGCCTTACAGAACTGTACATATTTTTTTATGTCGAAAAGTTTTTAAACCCTATTTTTTGTATAAGAAAAAAAATGTATTTTAGTGTAAAAGCGTAATTAACGTGTTGAAAACAAACAATATTCTTGGATATGTTTGACCTTACTAGACGGAAATGACGTCAGCACGCACGGGCATCATTCGCGCCGCTTGGGAGGAAGTGCTGTGTAGACAGTTCGGCCAACTCCGTAAGAATAGAAAAAAATAGAAAGAAAAAAACACAAGGGAGAAAAAAAAACATTGAAATTCTTTAATCGGGTGGGTTCAGAAAGACTTCTCAAACTATCCTGATTGGAGGAAGTCCCCGGCGGGCGAAGCTAAAGTCTTGAGAGCTGGTAATCAGTTTTTATTTTTCACTTTGAAGCTTGTTTTGGGCTGTTGATGTGAGCCGCTGGCGCTGCTGTCGCCCGATCGTCGACACTCATGTGCCGGAAGTCTGCGTAAAACCGCCTCGGTTCCAGCGTCGACGTTTTTTTTTCCCCCACTTGTTCTGTTTTTTCTATCCTTTTTCGTCTTTCCTTTTTTATTTTAGCCGACAGTAGAGTGAATGCACGGGTCACGTCATGCTGTGGGCTGCAGGTCCGCCTCTGTTATCGCACAGTAGATTGGCCCCAGCCTGTCAATAATATTTAGATATAATTGGTTATTTGCAAATAAATATTTGAATATTTCACAATATGGTCAAAATACAGGATTTTATAGTGCATCGTTTTTAATAAAGATGAAAGCAAAGCACATTCTCTTCTCTGCAACATTATGACAAATATAAACCCGCCATCTGTAAAAAAATATATATACATCCTGAACACAGATTCACCAGTGATGCTGGTTCTGCCATATGGATAATGTGCATTACAGTCAGTCAACTTATGAATGAAGTTTCTAACAACTTGCTGATGTGAAACGCATGATTTATTTGTTGCAGTGTTGTTGACCATACATAGACTCATGACAGACACCAGCTCTTCCTGAATATATAATGTACTGCATAATTCATTTTGTCCAATTCCATTTAAAATTGTGTCATTAAAATATTTCATTTGAATAATGTTAAATTATTATTATAATTATTTTTCTATGTCTGTATCTTTTATCAAATTATACACCCCACAGGTATTATTATTATTATTATTATGTATAAAATAACATTCTATGTTCCTATCTGTAAGGTCAAAGGTTGCAATGTTTACACAGTTTTTGAATATCAAAATGCCTACTTTCTTTTCTCAGGGATGATGGAGGATTCCCATTTTAATTCTTCATACTTTTGGTCTCCTGTGCAGGGACAGGTAAGCACACCGGTATCCATATTCCAGCTGTCTAAGTTTAAAAATGGGTTATTGGGTCATTCCGTTTCAACCCAAACTCACATAAATAGTGACAAAAGCCAAAATATTATAATATTATATTTAATATTTTTCTTACATTTCACAGATGTATATCTACTGAGTAAACCATTATTTTGTAGAGGGGCGTCAATATTACCATTTTCACCTGAGATTTGAAGTCAATTTACAGGGGGGTAAAAATGACTTGAATGGTCACAGAAGATGGGTAAAATTCAACAATTTGAACATCGAACTGCTTTGAGATTCCCCTATCTATGGGACTGAACATTATAAGGCCTTGAAGATGAAGATTTCAAAAGTAGTTTATTAAGAATGAGAATCTAGAAGGATATTAAGATATTTTGAATATTTTTAGAGTAGCAGGCATGTAAACTCTAGGCAAAAGTGCTTTTTGCCGTTTTTGATCTGTCACTGTTAGCATTTAAAGGGACACTCCACCCATTTGTATTAAGATTTCCATTGTTAGAAATCCATTTATAATAATAATAATAATAAAATCCGCTATTTATCTTTTTCACTTCCTCCTACAATGATGCAAAAATCATCATCATGTGACCCTGAAAACAAAAAAAAAACATTATGAATGTTTGTAACAGTTTTGTTTTTGTTTTGTTTTTCAAATATTAATAATACTCTTTTAATTGATCTTAACTGTCTAACCCAATTTTGTCTGTTTGGTTTTAGATTGAGAATGCTGTATTTCTCAATAAGGTAAAGGAGCAGCTTGTTCAGGACAAAAGCACCACCTACTCGCATGGCCCCGCCCACTATCCCACCACAGCGGTGGTGGCGGTTTCTGGGGGTGCCATAGAGACAACGACAGCAAGGACACTAAAACAAGAGCATGCACAACCATCTCACTCCTCACACAGTATCACAGTGGTGCCGGTACCGCCTACAGGCATCATGACGGCAGGTACTGTATGTGTGTGTGTTTATGTTAAACTTCTACTGGGTCTTTTCTCATTAGTGTACACTATTTGTAGTATCATTACGTTTCTACACTTTGATAAGTCTTCCATCACTTCCACACTCTTTCTAGCGGGTTTGGTCACTCTGGTGTCTCCAGTATCATCTGCTCAGTCCCTTATTCATGGACATCCATCCACCACCATGATAACAGTCCAAACGGGTAATGCACCTTATTTTACATAAACACAGGCATGCACGTGGCATGATTTTTGGTGAGAGATGATTTATCACTAATTTTGGGAACTTTTTTTTTTATGTCTGAAATAGTCACAGATACTTTTTATTTTCTCACCAGTTTTGTATCAAATAATTAAAGCATTTTACTCTTGCATGATTCCACCAGACAAGAGAAATGACTCCTTGGCCTGCTCACCGGTCATCATCCCGTTACCGTCGAAACGGGGCAGAAAGAAGAAAGCCACACTCCCGTTGATTGGCTCACCTTCTGGGACAGATGCCTTGGTTTTGGGTCTTTCAGGACAGGTTTATATTTTTTTTTTCTCTTATGCTTATCAAGGCTGCATTATTTGATCAAAATACACACATATTATATATATATATATATATATATATACACACTGTATGTATAAATATATATATATATAAAGAGTAATATTGTTATATATATATATATATAGATTGATTTTCTGTTATGGCAAATCTGAATTTTCAGCTAACATACTCTAGTCTTCAGTGTCACATGATCCTTCAGAAATCAATTTCTTGCTGATTTGGTGCTCAAGAAACATTTCATGTTAAAAAAACAGTTGAAAAATCCGTTTTTTTAATGAACAAAAATGTATTTGAAATAAGAAATCTTTTGTAACATTATAAAAAATAAATCTTTTATCTAATTTTTCAATAAGTTTTGAACAACAACATTTTTTTTTACTGATTTTCCTTTTCTCTGTAGCATCATTCTGCCAACCCTTACAGTCTGTCCCCAGAAGAAGGGCATGCTGGGAATGGGAAAGAAGGTGGTAAAACTTACAGGTATGGATTTTCAAAGGGACATCAGCTCAGCATGACCTCAGTGTGTGTTTCTTACAATCTATTAGAAGAGGTAAAGACAGAGGCAGGAATTCCTAAGCCACTTCATTTTCATACGGCAGAAATGCATGTCGCTCCGGCCTGACGCACACTCTCGCCGGCTTCAAGGCTTCGCAACGAGTTTGTCTTCTGTGCTTCTGTAGAAGTGTGTGTTATCCTGCTCAACAGCATGTGCAGCTACACACACACACACACACACACACACTTCTGTCACCCATCTGCACTCGTGTTTCTGCCCTCTCCATCTCTTTTTTCTTTTCTAGAGCCAGGGTCTACGATTTCATTCTGGATCGTTCTCCACTGAACTCCTCGTCTCTCACCCTCCCGCTTGTGTTGTGTCTCTTTCTTGCCTATTTGTTGTGTCGTTTGTCTCAGGTGTCTCCTTTCGCTATTGATGGAACGGCTTGTAACTTTCCTTTTCTCTTTGTACCATTTTCATTCGTACTTGGCCTTCTCCCATGTTTTCCTCCTCTCTCATCCCTCTGTCCACCTCTTGGTGTGTGTGTGTGTGTGTTTTTCTGTCTGTAGGTGCCGGATGTGTGGTTTGACGTTCTGCAGTAAGTCAGATATGCAGCTGCACTCCAAGTCGCACACGGAGGTGAAAGCTCACCAGTGTCCGCACTGCTCCAAATCCTTCGCTAACACCAGCTACCTGGCCCAGCACATCCGCATCCACAGCGGAGCCAAGCCCTACACCTGCTCCTACTGCCAGAAGGCTTTCAGACAGCTCAGTCACTTACAGCAGCACACACGGTATTCAGCACCGCACCACAAACGTGTGTGTGTGTGTGTGTGTGTGTGTTTGTGTGTGGGTGTCTGTGGCAAAGCAGGCGGGTGGTGGAGAGTGTGTGTGATGGATTTTAGCATAGGGAGAGGACTGCAAGAGCGTCTGTGTGTGAGTTCGCCAAATTCCTCACGATATGATACACCTTGCAAAATATTTGATATCGAAATTCAAACTGCATTAAACACGTTAAAGAGAGAATCAGGGTGTTGGTCAGCGAGCGTTTGTCCTATATGTCCTATATATAAATTGCTGATATTTCAGTTTTAAAATTAAATTAAAACATAAAAAAACTTGGTAAATCTTTACTGAAAATCTTTATGTATAATGCATTATAAAGATATTCATATAATGTATGTAATAATGCATTAAATCTTTTCATAAATAATAACCAAAGTTAAGATGATGCATTATTTTATTTGAAGATTCCTTGTTACATCTGGAATTGTTTTTTTATGTGTTCTAGCGAATTATACTTTTAAAAGGCATAACAAAGAATTAATATATTATAACTGTGGTTACAATTATTTATGAGAATTTTACAATGCATTAAAATATTTCTATAATGCATTATATATAAAGATGTGTAACCAGAAACTTTAATCAAAAAAGTAGTTATAAATGATTCACGTATTTAGACATCACAACATTATAATGTTCTATATGAATAAAGGATATTCATTTTGATATTTACTTAATGTTCTTTGAGTATTTTTTTTAAATATATAAGGTTGCAGATTTTTTATCTATAAAGACCCATTTATATGTCTGAGAAAAATATTAAGTTTCATATTATAATATAAAAACAAGTTTTGTAAATTAAATTATTATTGTTGTACTGAAGCAAACCCTGAGGTTCCTGGACCCTGGTTATTCTGTATTAGTTAAACTGTAGAAAATTATAAATGCAAATATAAACGCTTAAAATTATTGGTACTCGGACCATTGTAATGTAACTCAATATTGTGAGTGTGCTGAAAAATTGGAGAGAAAGAAACATATTTAACAAAATGTGTTTTAGGGCTGTCAAAGTTAACACATTGATTTGGAATAATATTTTTTTGTGAAGAAAAAAGTGCTTGACTTATCTAAATACAAAAGTTTCTCAGCAGCATAACTTTCCATAAAGGCTAATTCTAGTTTCAAGGTAATTATTATTATTTATTTGTTTTGTTCACTTGGAAAGTGGTAGCTAACTGTATCTTCAACCCACCTACTTTATGGACTTAACTGACTAATCCTGGGCGTTTAAAGTGCTTCTTGTGACCTCCGCATTCTGCTTTCCGTTGTGCTCATCAAGCAGTTTTTAAACGCAAACACGTGTCCTGGGTGCTCGCCCCCTGAGACGTTACACGGTCACGTTGAAGAGGTTGACAACAGGGCCTCATGCTCTTTTCCCTGTTGCTATAGCAACATACTCTGGTGATGGTTTGCTTATACACGTTTATGTCTAATGGACTGTTTAAATATATACCACACAGTCTTTATAATGGTGATGTCAGCTATAGCATGATGTCACCATGTGTAGTGGGTGGATTGCACTTTAAATGTCTCACTGATGAACTGGAAGAAAAAGTGCTTGAAGAAACTAAAGATGGTCAGGAAAAGTTCCTTTCCATCTCAAAAGATTTTTTTTTCAATTTATTTTCTCTATTTGTATAATTTATTTCTCCTCTGGCACACTTTTTATTACTGTGTGGACTACTTGCATTTTTTACACCACACTGTGGAGTCTTACACACACCAACTGAAGGATTGAACTGAAATTGAAGCTGTCAGTGAAAGCCTAGTTCTCTTTGACTCTACAATTATTGTCCCATAACTGTGTAGAAGTTTTATGAGGTTCTGAAATGGAGGTCACGTAAAGGTTTTGTCTACTGTTGATCACACTCGGACATGGGATTGGGCTCTTTGGCCCACAGAGTTCCTGTGAGAATTTAGTGCTAATGTTTTTTTTTTTTGTTGAGAAATGGATCTGCCCTCTCTGTGACCTCATTCAAACACATACCACACCACTTCCAAATGTGTCTTTGAAATACACTGCGCACTTTTGACATTCGTTGGCAGTAGGGACCACCTTAGAAAGGTCAGCAGAGTGAGTGTAGAAATGAACAATACCTTCATGTCAAATATTTGTGTACTAGCCTCTATAAATTCTCGAATGAGTCCATAGTTAACTATGTTTGTCTTTCCTTTACAGAAACCACACAGAATCCAAACCTCATAAGTGTCCTCATTGCTCGAAATCCTTCGCCAACACAAGCTACCTTGCTCAGCATATACGAATCCACACAGGAGTTAAACCTTACACCTGTAACTACTGCCAGAAGACCTTCAGACAGCTCAGTCACTTACAGCAACACCACAGGTGCAGTAATGGATTTATTTATGGCTTTTTCTACACTTCTAATCTTACTTAACCATACATACTCATGGTTAAGTGAGTTAATGACTTAAATTGTGTGCCTGTTCAGGATCCACACAGGAGACAGGCCATACAAATGTTCACACTTGGGTTGTGAGAAGTCTTTCACTCAGCTCTCTAATCTGCAGGTGAGAATAGTACTCCGTTTCTCTATTTAAATCTATAAAGTAGAGCAATCTTATTACTAAATTACAATAATTCTGATATGTCTAGTAAACCTTTGACAAGGTGATCACAGTGAACTTTCAAATATGCATTTGTGTCGCTGCTGAGCCAGAGAGAGCAGTTGTTCATTCATATGTATGAAACGGCTTCACAAAAAGTCTTTCAACCGCATACAGTATCATTATTTCTGTTACAATAATTCAAATTATCACAGAGGTATTGGGAAAAAAGTTTATAGTTCCTTCGGATATAAACACTGATTCCTGAGGTAGCGATTAAAAAAAATCAATAAATCACCTCTTGAATGCAACTTGGATAAATATTGTATCGATTACATCAATTACAAGTATTTATGAGTGAGTCATTGAATCATTCTTTTAAACCAATTATTCAAATTGATTAAAAAAATAAATAGACTGCAGCAATTAATAAGTAAATTACATGAAAATTTGAATAGTTGTCTATTCAGAACCATGGGATAATTTTGATCTCCATTTTAAACCAAAATAAAAATTGTGATTCTCAATTTGTCCAGAATTGTACGGAGCCCCTGAAAGAAACATGGTGAATGAAAAAAATTATGGGATGGGGGGAGAAAATTATTTGCGTTCTCCCAAGAAACTTTGCGTTCGCTGTCAAAATGTTTTGCATTCGCAAAGAACACAAACATTTTCCGTGCGAACACTGAGTTTCATTTTTCTAACCATCTAATTTTATTTATCACCATGTCCCTTCGAGCCCATGTGGCTCTGTAGAATTGTGCAGCCCTACTATAAAGTCGATTATACTATAAGCGTCACTCCTATAAAGAATATTAAATTACAGTTTTCCTTAAGGAGTAACAAATCCTTTTATCACTCTCATGTCGCGCTCCTCCATTAGTTAAACAGGGACTATGACTGAAGGACTTGCGAAGTTTAGAATTGAATTTAGAATGCCTTTAAGTTTGATGTAAAGTAGCAAACAGAATACGAAATTGCTATTTGATTACAGTAAATTAATATAAAAATAAGTTGCTGATAAATAAAATTAAATCATTTTAACTATAAATGCTCTAGAAAAGTAGTTTGTCAACTCAAATTTCTGAAGTTTAGCTTATTGAAAGCCTTTTTGAAAGTATTTTCAAATTGTTTAAGGATTCAGATATACGCTACTGTTCAAACATTTGGGGTCAAGTGTATTAAGTTTAAGTTTTATTAAATGAATACTTTTCAGCAAATACATTAAATTAAAAAGACAGTAAAGGCATGATGTTACAATAGATATCTGTTTCAAATAAACATTCTTGTTCTCAAAGAATCCTGAAATTGTTTTATCCGTAATAAGAAATGTGCACTGAGCTGCAAATCAGCATAGAATGATTTCTGAAGGATCATGTGACACTGAAGACTGTAGAAAAGGGAATGTCATCACAGGAATAAATTGACCCCACACTATGGAACAGTATTGGATGGATGTATGGATGGATGGATAGATAGATAGATACAATTCAGTTTAAATTCTCTTTTTTTGTGAACTGTCATTTCAATATTTCTTCCGATATTTTCCAGTCTCATCGGCGTCAGCACAACAAGGACAAACCGTATAAGTGTCACCACTGTAACCGTGGTTATGTAGACGCAGCCAGCCTGGAGGTTCATCTGTCCACTCACACAGTCAAGCACGCTAAGCTGTACTCCTGCGGTTTATGCAACCGCACATATACATCGGTACAAAAATGAACACCTAATCTCACACCATAAATGAGCAGCATTCCCAGTTCCCATTCTCAAGATGATACTGATATGCATCTCTCTCTCTCTCTGCCTGTAGGAGACGTATCTGATGAAACACATGCGTAAACACGCCCCGGATATGCTGCCGTCTCCACCTGGATCAACCCAGCAAAGCCACAGCCCAGGCCGTGTTGATGGAGGCGGTTCGGAAGGAGACGCGCAGAGCCGAGTCGAGAGGACTGACGTCTTCGGTCAGCCGTGCATATTCGACCTGAACCAGTACAAACCATTAACTTCTGCTGATGCGCAGTATAAAACTGTCAGTGTGTCTGACATCTCCCCTCACAAAGACCTCTGCATCACTGTGGAGGCTTCCGCCATACAGGTGGAACACCTGAACTCATGAGCGAGGGATGAAACTTTGAAGTTTAGAAAAAAAAATTGCAATTACACAGAACTGTGCATACTGAAAGGATTGTCTTGCTCGATACGTTCTCATTTGTATGAAGGAGCAAGTGGACTTAAATGAACAAAAGTGAAGGAGATGGATTTTGTAATTTTTTTTCTTTCCATTTTTTTTTTTTTTTTAACATTTATCGCTGTAATCCTGATCTTCCTCGCAAAAGCTTCCTTGATGACTGTGGCTGTTTCAGTGGGTACCCAGCTCATATATTAAGTCTTTCCATCAAATTTCTAGTTGTTCGTCTCTAGTTGTTGGTACGATCACTCCACTGTCAACATTAATATTGTTACTGTTCACAAGAATGGAAATTTATATGTCTCTTGCACAGTATGTATGGGAATTGTTGGTCTGTTTTTGTTTTAAAAGGGAAATTTGTTTGCAGTTGTGTATGTAAAACAGAAAATAATGTATATATGATTATGTGTCTGAATGAATAAAGGACAACAGGAAATAGGACAAAAAATAGTCAACTAATGTCAATGGCAAATATCTTGATGGGTTTTTTTTTTTCTTTTAAAAAATTATCCTGTTTAGCATTCCCATCTGCAGATGACATGTAATATTCTATTATTACTGTTACTACTGTTATTCTATCAAAATTATTATTGCTCCCAAATTTCAACCTCTTGATATTAACAAAATCAGATTAGTGTGCTTTAACCTTGTAAAAACAAGATATTAAAACAAATGCTTCTGATGTGCCTCCTTGTGATTATTTTATCAGGGGTTTGCAAACTTTGCGGACTCTGGCAACCTTGGTTTTTATGTCATTTTCATTGACTTACAACATTAACAAGTTTATAATACTTAGATCATTGATGTAATTGTTCTAAAGAAACAGAATATGATCTAGAATGAATTATTTGTGGTTACGTTTATAGTCTTTCAGCAACATCATTACCACCCAGTTATTTGTGGCTATTTATAAAACTGATATATAGTTATTTATATAATTAACTTACATAATTTAAACATTTATTGTTATGTATACTTATATTTAAGTTATATATATATATTTATTCGTACTGATGTCCAATGAATATTCTATCGCACAATGGCAGATTGCACCACCTTTCAAAAATATGGGGGGGGTCAAAATAACATTGCTGTTATTGTGTTACTTTCGCAAACATATAAAGTTAACAGAAGCAGTAACCGATTCCAGAACAATTGTACAGAGTCGATAAAATGTATTTGTGACGCCTAGTGTTGAATCTTTGAAGTACATATTGGTAGCGTCCATCCACCCCGTCAGTAGTAGTGGGCTGTCACAGAAAAGTCCATGCGAGTAGCGGGGAAACTTCACGAATGTAAATATAGACCTAAAAACGGAGTTTACGTCCTCGCGCATTCTTTCTTTTTTCTCCTTTGATCCATGTGAACATGCCGCGCAAAAAGCCTTTTAGTAACAAACAGAAAAAGAAGCAGCTCCAGGTGAAACGCGAGAAAAAGAGAGGTGGGTACGTTTACTAGCTTAGCTGAGTTAGCGCGCGACGAGCTGAACGAATGCGCTCGCAGACGTTATACATTAGCCACGTGACTCATTGTTTTATGGTTTATATTTTAGTGTGCAGAAATGTAACCATGTTCTCACATATTAACACAATAATTGAGCTACTACGCTGCTCTAACTAAAGTTACTTTGTTTGCTAAGTTTCTGTGGGTGTATGTAACCAAACTTGACAGGCAGTAAACAGCGCGTGCTGTCATTTTTATTTGACGCTGAATGTCACATTCAGCAACAGTATACATGTAACGTTATCATAATGTTCTTGATATGGATGTTGTCTGCTGTAAACAACTGCTCTGCTCGTGACCCGGTCGAACGTCACACAACCGAACAGTATCTTTACTGACTAAATTTATATTCTGCCTTGTCAACAGTGAAATGCTGCGTAAAGAGGGTGATTATGACACTTATTTTGAACAGCTAGTGTTTTGCTGTAGTTGGCGCTTGTGTTATGCGGTATATAAGTGCGCAGACTCAGCGTGAAGTTACGTAACACAACAACAAAGCGATCAATACACACTAAAGCAGGCTTAATTAACTGCCGTTTGCTTGCAGTTCTGTAGTACACAGTAAAACCTACACAAACAGTTTGCAGAATATCAGGGATAAGTATTTATTATGTCATCAGTGTAAATTTCCACACTATTGTCAAATCTATATTGTAATAATGACAACAGAGTGTTAATTATGGGGCAGACATGATTATTGGAAGTATACTATGTTTTTTCCAACATGAAATAAAAAACACGGTACACGTAGTGTTTAATAGAAAATTGCTAATTGATTACTCATATAGTTTCAAATAAATGGCAAGTACCACATTGAATTAAACATTTTTTAATGACTGAGATAAAGAATTAAATGGTATTTTCATGTAAAACGTAATCCAATGATCCTTGTTTTATTTACAACTTTGACATTAGTATTTGACATTACTTCGCTTTGGATTCATAGTCAAGAAGACAGGAAACACTCCTTAAAGTTTCTCTGTGTTTGTGTGCACGCCCAGGAGAACCAGGTTCAAGTCATAGTAGCCGAAATGCCAGTGTGGAGAGAGGACCTGGCAGAGACAGACAATCGGATACATCAGACAGCGAGACGACAGACATCAGGAGGATCAACCATCAGCCTGGTGCCAGAGACGGCAGATATGACCCCAACAGGTGAGTCAGGACAGGTGAAACAGTCAGTCCAGTCTTGTCTTATCAATTCGTCATGAGATGTTTTGGCAGGGGCATGTATCATCCTGTTTGTTAAAGGTGTTATATGGAACATTTCTACTAAAATAAATAAATAAATAGATCTACTGTCTAACGTCACTCATCCCACTACTATCATATTGTTTATAATACACATTTCCAGACACGCTCAGTACAGTAATGTTACTTCCTAGAATCTTACTGTTACACTGAAATTGTTCAGCCTAGTTCACTAACCGTTTTCATGATCAAATTATACATTCACCTATGTTGACATTGCTGATTGTGAATGATACACGAATAGTTAGTGTAATACCTAATGCTAGATAACACCACAAATGTAATGTTATCATGGTACGAGCATGGAGCATTAGTTCCAAGGTCATAAAACTAAGTAGCCTATTATTGTAACGTTGCAGTGGGAGTTTACATGAGTTTCCAGCATGTTTTGTGATGCTTTCTCCAGTGTGTTGAAAGTCTCAGTGTGGCCGTGCACCATGAGTGCTCACACTCTTGTGTTCGAGCACACGCAAGATCACGAGCACTCTTGTGAAAAATTGGTTGCAATCTGAAACATCACCGATAGAGGCCGCTAAAAACTACATATAGCACCTTTAATCTTAATCTTATAATGATTTTGCAGATTCCGTCTGCACTTTGAGAAGGAGAGCAAGGAGGAGGTGGAGAAGAGGAAGAAAATAGCGATGAAGAAAATCCTGAAGCCGGTGGCAGAAAAGGAACTAGAGATGGATATATACCAGATCTTCCCCGAAGAGAAAGGTATTTTTGCTGCTGAGCTAAGTAATATGAAGGGTGGTTCTAAACTGGGACACATTTCATAAAACTAGCCATAGTTTTGTCAGAGCATCTGTGTCAAAAAAATATATATAGACTTTGCTGTCAAATAGATGAGTCAACAAGGTCTTATGTCACTTTCATTTTAATCACAGGCCTGGATATCCCACGGCGGCCATCGTGGCATTACGAAATGCGGCGAGAGGAGTTGCTGCGGAAAGAGGAGAAGTCATTTCTGGAGTATCTGGACACTCTTCACTCCAAGAACCCACCTGGTAGCCTCAGCCACTTTGAGCACAATCTCGAGGTGAGGCATGTTCTGTTAGAGAACACAGTACTGAAGTACCTAGAGAAATCTTTTTTTTATCTGCAACCAGAATTAGATTGTCGCTGAGTCAATAGCGGTAATGAAATAGTTGTTTTATTGCGTTTGAGCATCTGTTTGGTCAGACAGTGCTGGAGGCAAGCACTGTTCAAATTCACTTGTTTATGAGCCATTGCCCCTCTCAAGTCTTGTGACACTGAAACTGCTGTGTTTGCTTAGTGAAAAAGAAGCAAAGCTTTTCCTAAATGCTAGTTTAAATGTATAAGATTAAAAATTAGGCATATTAAACTTAATAAAAAAAGGCTTCTTTGATAGCCTGAAGACAACAGAAGCACCACAATATTGTGCATATCATTTGTAGACAAACAACCGTTATTATGTCTAAAAATTTATAAACTTGCTGCTAAATGTTGGAAGCACTTATTATTCTGCAAATATTGGATTACAATGAATTTGTTGTTTTAACAGTTTCCAGATTTTGGATTAATGTAGCAAATACTTAACAGGAGACCATACATTGTTTTACCTTAACCCTAAAACTGTATTCTGGACAAATGTGGGCAAAATAGTTTTGATTTATTAAAAAAAAAATAAAAAATACTTCCCTCGATCGGAGCGGTACAAGACTTGGCTACTTTTCCTAAGTTTGCCCCCTGAAAACACAATTTTTTGACTCAATTCTACAATGTTAAGTGGGTGAAAAAAAAACTCCTTAATCTTGTATTTGGGTCAAAAATGGGCACCCATAGAAATGAATGGGAAAAAACTTTAGAGCATTCTAAAATAAGCCAAAATAAGACACCAGGTAACAGCAAAGTCACTTCGTCTTTATGTTTTAGTTCTAAGAACTTTAATGTATTTAAAAAATAAAATATAAAAATAAGCATAATTTACATAGAAAATATGGTATTTTTTAAGTAAATAAATTCAAAAATACCCCCAAAATAAAGAAAAACACCATAAATGGATAGACAAAACTTTATCGAAGACAGTGATATAACATTTATAATAGTGCTACGTGGGCCAACAAATTACAAACAGGTTGGCTAATCTGAAAGAATGTGAATAACAGAATAAGATTCATTTTCAAATAACAGCTATTACAAATTGGTTACTTTTTGTTGGTTTATTTACTACTGACTGACTGTCTTTCTCTCTCAGACATGGAGGCAGCTGTGGAGAGTATTGGAGATGTCTGATGTCATTCTGCTCATAGTGGATATCAGACACCCAGTGAGTGTGCGACTGTAATGCCTGTTGAAACTTTAAGCAGTTTTCAAAAGATCATGAAAATTGCATAGCTCTTACACTAAATTTGAGAATTCTTAAATTATGCAAACAACTGAGCTAATAAAGTCCCCACTAGGTGGGGCCAGAGATTATATTACATTTAATCTCAGAAAACCACTTTTTTATTGCGTTATACTTTTTGAGCAAAAGAAGGATACAAGCAAACATTCTCACTCTGTCTGTAGGTGCTGCAGCTTTCTCCTGCTGTGTATCACTACATCACTGGTGAGTTAAAGAAGCACATCATCCTGGTGCTCAATAAGGTGGACTTGTGCCCCGCCCCGCTGGTGTTGGCATGGAAACACTACCTGACTAAACTGTTCCCCCACCTGCACTGTGTCTGCTTCACCTCGCACCCAGGACAACCCTACAGCACCCGTGAGAGAATCCGTCCTCTATCAGTGCTTTATCTATAATGTGACCAGATTAAAATCTGCTTTCTTCATCTGTACTAACTGCAGTTCTACAGAAGAAGAGGGTGAGGAAGAAAGCAGGATGGAATCAGGTAGGAGGGCCGTTCCAAATCATGAGAGCGTGTCAGGAGATCACAGCAGGAAGAGGTAAGACAAGTTCCTCCCAGACAACTAAATGAGCACTGGAACATAGAGAGTAATCATGATGATGATTGTTGTTTTCAGTGGATTTGAACAGCTGGGAGAAGAAGATCCAGAGGGATGCTGTTGCTGTGGGAACAGAGGGGGATCGGGCTGATGATGATGGATCGGAATCTGTGCTGATGGAGCATCATACTGATGTTGCCATGGAAATGAACAGCCCCACGCAAGAACTTTATAAAGATGGAGTACTAACCTTGGGCTGCATAGGTAAAAAGATTAGTCACCAGGAAATCACGATTCTTCTTATTATAAATGATGCACGTCATTATTTAAAAAGAAAATGAACGTATCCTTATCTTTAATCAAAACGTGCACGTCCCCACCTCCTCACAACGATATATTTTCACTGATGACATGAGACTGGGACAATAATCCCTCACTTCCTGCAACCCGTCACTCACATGAGATTGCAGCAATTAACAAACAACAATTCAACGAGCTAATCAAGCCCTTATGAACAATCGAGCCCCACCCTACTTTGTTTTTCATTTGATAAGCCGTTTCACTTGGATAAACACCAAAATAGGGATAAAAAAGGATGATCGCAATTTCCATTTCATGCCAACTTTAAGTTGTGTTGTTTTAGATCAATATCAGTTACATATATCTTATATGAAGTACTTCTCCCCAATGTGTAAATTAAAATTCATATGGAGTCTTATGCACTTTTTCCAGGTTTTCCTAACGTAGGCAAATCTTCAGTGCTGAACAGTCTGGTTGGCAGGAAGGTAGTGAGTGTGTCTCGAACCCCAGGTCACACGAAATATTTCCAAACATACTACCTCACTCCCACTGTGAAACTGTGCGATTGTCCTGGGCTTGTCTTCCCTTCCCAAGTGGACAAGCAACTACAGGTAAAAACAGCATGATACTGTAAAATTATGAAAGTGAAATCATCCTGGCTTTGCTTATGTGTGTCCATGGTGTTTATCTTCTCAAACAGATCCTGGCTGGTATATATCCAGTGTCCCAGCTGCAAGAGCCTTACAGTTCAGTAGGATACCTGTGTGAACGGACCGACTTCCTGTCTGTATTAAAGCTGAAACATCCCGACCACTGCCCAGAAACGCCACGTGAGGGGGCCACACAGGACTGGACAGCATGGGACGTGTGTGAAGGTGTGTATTTCTCTGATGTGGCGTTATTCATTTCCTATTTAGCACTCGATTGGAGGGAGGAACTGGTTTTATAAAGTCTGTTTGTTTGTTTTGTGTCAGCCTGGGCTGATAAGAGAGGTTATAAGACTGCTATGGCGGCCCGCAATGATGTTTATCGAGCAGCCAACAGTCTACTGCGTTTGGCAATCGACGGACGGTTGTGTCTGTGTCTGCGGCCACCTGGATACTCTCAGAGTAAAGGTCAGAGGTCAAACCACTACAGATGTGTTCATGTCATCAGCCACTCATGTCCCAAATTTGACATTTAATCTCAATCTCTTCAGATGAATGGGAATCACACCCAGGCCTGTCCGAGATCATCGCTCTACAAGGAAGAAAGGACGATGAGGATAGGGGTGACAGGGAAGACGACGACGGTGAATCCAGCTCAGAGCTGGAAGAGGACAACGATCGAGACGCAGATGATGATGAAGACGCTTATGGGGATGATGAAGATGATACCGTGAAGGCTTGCAAGAAGGGCCTCACTCTCAACATGTTCAGTGTGTTAAGACAAAATGAGTGTGAGTGAGGGATGACATCTCTCTCCTTCTCATTCCATGTTCATACATTCCGGTGTCTTTATGTATCACTGATCTCTTTATGACCATCTCATTTCAATCTGCAATGTGTCAATCAAAGAACATTTATTTCTCATTTGACGCTTATTGCACTCTTATACAGACCAAGTTATAGACAAACACAACACATCCACCATTCTGCCTGTTTTTGCTGCAGTATGAGGCTGGTTTTGTGTTCTATGTCAACCTCTTTGTGCCTCTGTACCTTCTCTGCTTTTCATTATCATCAGAAAAGTATCAAAATACTTTTGTACCTCCTGCATGCAGCCTTTTCCCTTTCTGAAAGGTCTGAGGGAATGTCTTACAACCAGTGATTGTACAATCAGTGTTACTAAACAAGCATTGATGAATACAATCACTGATTTATTATCAATCTCACAGCAGTGATGCCAAAGGTCAGGTGAGGTCAGAAGTCACGTTTTGACCTCAAACTGTGAGTTTCCCCCCATGTGAATGTATTTTAACCTCAACCTCAGTACCGAAAACCTCGGCATGTAGGGCAAGTATGAGGATAAGAAATAGAGGCACAAGCTGTTGACTTCAGAAGATTATTTTGATAAAAAGAAGTTATGGACACTCAAAGCACTTTTAAAGCAAAAGGCAGCAACCAGCAGTCTTTTACTGTTGAAAACTTTCATTTCTGAGCAGATACACGTTTATTATGCGGGTAATGAAGTGAGGGTGTCATTTTGGGTTGCAGTAGGAGGGACTTTATGCCACAAAATGTTCTAGACTATGCAAAGTTAAAAGAGGTATTAGAAAAACCTGATACACATTGTACATGCACACTGACACAAGCTACTCGAAAAGTTTGGGATCATGTTCTTTTGGACTAAAAAGTAGATTAGAGAGTGGGTTGGTTTTGAAGAACTAGAGTTTGTGCACTTTTGCTGTAGGACTCAGGTAAAGGTGATGATGTGATGTTAGACCTTCATCACAGATGCGCAGAGAGACCGATACAAGAGTGCTGGTTTCCTGCTTTTCAGCCTCCAGCCCTGCATGCCCTTGCTTTGGGACTTCATGTGGGTGTGATAGTGTGTGAATCATTCTTTCTTTATTGAAATGTTAATTATACTGACAGAAACAGCCCTCTGCAATAAAAACGTTCCCCTGATTCTTTGCTATCGTTATGTTTGCATAAGAGGACACAGCTACTTATTTCTTTACATACAGTGACAATATAGTGTAAAGAATAATGTAGGCGAACATAAATTTATGGTAACATCTTTATGTGAAATGTATAAAATTGTGTGTTAGCATTGTATAAACTTCACAAAAAAATATAAGTCTTTGGAAGGTTTTTTTTAATTATTAGATTTTGGTCTATTTGACTTTTTATTAGCCCTTCTTTTTCTCAAAAATACACTAAGCGTTTATTTTACTGCACTTTATCTGTAGATTTCAATTACAAAACATATCTTTAAAGGCCATTTTCTCAAACTGAGTTTTTTTCTCATGCACTGAGCCAGAAATAGCCACCTTAGTAGCACTTCCATACACCAAACTCTTGTTTTATTCCCATCTATATTATGACGGTTTTTACAGAGGGCTTTGTTCATATTATATCACCTGCTTGGTTACATTGTGAAAAATAATTACAGGCTGTAATAAAAAGAGATATCAGTTCTCCCCTGTGTAATAGACTAATATGTCAACAAAATTAATTACATTTAAACCTGTATCCAATGTTCAGATATCTGTTGAGGAAATGCATTTTTAATTAGACAATACCTCATTTGCATACCGGCATTTCAACAACATATTAGAAAACTTACAATACCAAAACTGTTTGCAATTCCTAATGTAGGCCCTAATCAATCAACTGTTTAGGCAACATAGCACGCCTGCATCATGGTGCTCTTGTGAACTCGCGTTGGTAAATTATGTTTGTTTGTTGCGCAAACAAAGCACTCGTGTCTCTTCATAAAACTGAGGTTAAACCACTGGAGTCACATGGATTACATTTATGATGTCTTTACTACCTTTCTGAGGCTTGAAAGTGGTAGTTGAGTAGGCTGTCGATGGAGGGACAGAAAGTACCAAAGATGAATGAAAGTGTTACTGTTTTGTAACGGCATGAGGTGAGTAATGACAGAATTTAGATTTTTGTGAGAACTAACTCTTTTAAAACACGACGCCGCGCCTGTGCAAGATTCTGAAAATGAAGCTATACTCTATGTAACTGTAAAATATGGGCATCTAGCTCATGTTTACATTAAAATACAGGTATAGAGCAGCGGAGTGGAACGCAAAAAAACACGTGTAGTGTGAACCTGCCCTATAAAACTGTTGGAAAAGTGGTTACCTCATTTGTCTGAGAGCATGAACAAGTTATCAAAGTAAAGAGTAGGCTAGCTGCTTAATTTGAAGAAGCAGAACTTAAGATTATCCCCCTGCTTTCATTAGTGTTTTTCCTAGTTTAAATTACTATTATTGTAAAATGTGAAAAATAGTAATCATAAAGATTGAGTAGGTGTGTCCACACTTCTGATTGATACTAATTATGTGCTTCACAGTAACACTCTTAGGAAATAAAACATTTGACTATCACACTGGCCATCAGGTCACAGGTCAGGTCTTGCATCATATCAACATTACTAATCTTTTCCCAGCTGTAAACACTGAAGACAATGAAGCATTCCTATCGAATTTGATTACTTCACCACAATCAAAAACAAGTCATGTAAAATCCGGCATGTGGATTACATTGTAATCCTTTTCATTAAACTGTGAAAAGCTATTAAAACGGGCGTGTGGTTTAGGGTGTGACTTGGATGTGTTACAGTGCCTCACAATCATTTGCTCGAAATAACCAATACAAACAAATTTCCCCTCAGTAAAACAGAGAAACATAACTCACTAATTTCCTATAGATTGTGTAAACCTATTTGCCTGTTTGCAACCGCTGTCAGCTCCGCGCTGTTCTCATATTTCACTCAACCGTGACCTCATAAATTATCCAAATTAAATTCTGTGGTCTTTACCAGGAGTCATTGGTCATGCTTGTGCTGCCCATATGTGTTGCATTAGTGTAGAACAGCCTGCTTTTCACATGACGTACATAACCAGTCTGTAACACCCTTTAAACCACTAATCAACAAAGAATGAATTAGTCCTATTAAACCAGTCTGAGTTCTTATCAAGGTGAATCAAGGTAAACAACACAATAGTTCACGCAGAGGTTAATCAGACAAGACAAGTACTGTATCTCTAATCTGATTTGTGTTAATTTGCATGTTAATTTGCATATTTTGTAGACATCTGGTAATTTTGGCTGACTCTGGAAGCTGGAAGCTATACCACTCATCACATGAAAGGATACGTTTCCCTCTTAGGATGTCTGATTGATTAAGTATTCCTCAGTACACGCACACAAATGCAGCTTAATCCTGAATGCAAAGAAGTGCAAAGGTGGCTTTTGAACTTCTTGACTTCACAGCCTCTATATCACCTTCCTTGGGAATGCAGACAGAACTGAAAACACTGGCACAGCAATCCCAGGAATGTCACTGGTCGTGTAGCTCGACAATATTTATGACTAAAGCGATATTTGATCACACGATATGACGATAAATAATTTTACACTTTGGAATGGAATTTAATTTTTTTTTTTTTTTTTTGCAGTTTATGAATAAAATAAGGTCTGTTAACGTTAGTTCGACAACATAAACAGTCATATGGATGCTTGTTTCTGTTATATAAAATAAAATGATCATTATGAGATAAAATTTTAAAATGAGTTATAAATTCACAATTAGATATATGAGATATTAGTCACAATTTCCAAAAATAAAGTAGCCATTGAGCGATATAAAGTCTCAATTGTGGGGAAAAAAAAGTAGCATGTACAAGAAATGATGATGGAATTGCAAAATGTATGTTACAATTGTGAAAAATAAACTGGTAGTTGCATGATATAAAGTCACAGTGAGCAATATGAAGCCGCATTTACAAGAAAAAGTGTTACAATTTCAAAAAAGTCACAATTACGAGAAATAAACTCGCAATTGATAGTCACATCGTGTAATATGGTCAATTGTTAGAGATGTGAAAATAGTTGCATTTACGAGTAATAATATCACGTCACAATTATGAAAAATTGTCTCTTTACAAGAAATAATATTGCAAGATATAGTCACATTGAGATATATAAAGTCAAAATTACATAAAAAATAACATTACATTACCTTTTTATTTTTTTCCTCCGAGATGGAAATTAGTGAATTAGCCCTCTATGTGGCCTACAAATTGACCTCATGATTGACCTTGCACAACTATAAAAACAAATGTAGTCATTTTCTCATGATTTTGAGTTTTATAATGATTTATATTGTTTACTGTATATATTTAGATAGGAGTTTCCCCTCAATTTTTTAGTACCCTCACTGCTAGAACACACACACACACACACACGGACCGGTGTAATTTACGAGCAGGCAGTTGTCCCCAGTCTGCTTCCGAGTTGGGTGCTGGCGTTGGCAGTTGAGTGTATTGGGTGTCCTGTCTTCTGCCCGAATCTAAACTCAGCTTTCAGTACGGCAAGTCAGAGAGGCCAACTTATGCTGCCACACAACAGTACTGACATAATTTATTATCATCGAACAGCATTTGAATTTATACCACCACAGGACCACCATGAGCCAGAATTGGCTCGATTTTAGACGATTTTACAGATCCAATTAACAATTTTGTAGATTTATATCACTCTATATCATGTTCTAAAGCATTTTTTTACATGTGCATATGTGTTTTTTGGGTGGTGTGACTGTTTGCTGCTCCCCATGTTTGTTGGAGTCTATGTGTCAATAGGTATTTTTAGCTTGGGCTCTCACTGCATTGCAATGGCACTCATTCCCAAAATCCCAGCAACCCCCCACTCCACTCACTCTCACTGTGGAGCCAGATAGAGCAGAAACGGCCAGGAAGAGAGCGAGCAGGACAGTTGTGTCATCACACAGACAGTCCAAGCAGAATTAGACCCTCCCTGCTCTGTTTCCATGGAGACAGTTTGAAATAGACCTTATGATGGGCTGTTATAAAGGCCGAACTACCTGATCGCCACACCCTGACTCAACCGTTATTACCGTCAGGCGCAACAAACCACTCACGCTCAAAGCAGACACAGAAAATAACAGTCATTTGGGGAGATTCAAATTCTGTCTGACGTGGAAGAAAGAGGGAGGGAGAAAGGGAGGGAAACAGAGAACACACAATGAGTGTCTAACAAGGGAACTAATGAATTAACTTAGGCCACAGACTTCCGCTGTTAGCATGGCACGAATAAATGACAAACTTTTATTCGCTGATGGAATAGAGGAGAGGGAGAGGAAGTGAAGTGAAACTTGTGGATGAATCCAGTAACAGTTATAAAGGAGAACCCACTTCAGGGTCTCATCGCTTTCTCTTTTCATGTTGAGAGATTCAGAGTCCGTGAATGGTTCTGCAGAGGTGAGGGAATGAAGCGCAGCAGACCAATAGAGGATTCTGTGGTGGGTGGGACCTTAAAGGGACAGTTCACCCAAAACAATGACAATTCTGTCATCATTTATTCACCCTTGTGTTCTTTTAAATCTCTTAAGACTTTATGAAGAATTGACTAGTTGTTGCTTTTAATTTAATTACAATAAATGGAGACTAAATGCATCATAAATGTATCACGCAAGTGGTCCAAATGACTCAGAAAGTACATTCCAAGAAGTCATATGATAGCATTCATTTTTTAACCAATTTTCTTATGTGCTTTTGTCAATTTTATTTAGTTGTTTCTACACTCTAAAAATGCTGGGTTGTTTTAACCCAATTTTGGGTAAAATATGGACAAATCGAGCCATTGGGTTACATTTTTAAATGACATTTTTAACCCAATGGCTCTGTTTGTCCATATTTTACCCAAAATTGGGTTAAAACAACCCAGCATTTTTTTAGAGTGATATACAGTTTGTTTATTTTTATTTCATTTTTTCCCAGTAATTTTAGAACCTATTTATTTCAGTTAGCTGCCTACTGTATATGCAACATTTCTATTTTTGTTTGAGTTTATATTTATTTTATCAGTTACCAAGAATGATTTTTACGTTTTAGTTTTAGTTAACAATATAACAACGCTGATTCACTGAATTCACATTCTCTCCCTGAGCTGATATCAGATCACTGAATAAGTCAACTGGGCTTGTGTACCAGATCAATCAAATTCATGGACAGATCATTTAGACTGCTTTTTTTTTTTGCTAACTGAACCAAAGATCCATTACAAAGATCAGATGCAAAAAAAATGATTCGCATGAATACATCATGCACTATCATCCAAAAAACAACAACCTTAAATGACCTCAAATATCATGACTTTAGAAAACTTGGAATACTTTTATGACGATTTTGCATCCTTTTTTAGTTTTTTAGCTCCTGTCCTCATTAATGTAACTAGAATATTCTTCAAATTTTACTCCATTTATCTTCTACAGAAGAAAGAAACTCGTACATGTTTGAAAAGACGTGACAGTGAGCAAATAATGACATCATTTTAATTTCTGGGTGAATTCTTTCTTTAAATCCTGAGTCTTTTAAGTATATAATGTGAGTGGTCAACCAGAGCAAAAACATCTAACCACAGACAGACACAAACGCAAT